ACTGACATAGAATTTACATTCTGGAATCTGACACTCACTCTTGAATTACTCAAGTGTTTACCCTCCTCTTTGTCATCTTCCCTAAATCTTGGTAGACACAAAGCATCTGCCATGAGGTTATGCTGAAATCAGCAGGCAGGTCCCATGGAGGAGCTAGCTCTGATCTGCAACTGCTCCAGCAATAAAATGCAATCAGCGCCTTCTTGAGATTGCTCAGTACGCATCAGCCAAATGAGAAAATGCAGTCTGATTAGAGGCTGCATTTTAATCGAGTGCAAAAATAAAACCTTCCCTTTCCAGAGGGACACAGATTATTTATTAGTGATTATTTCTCTTGAAAACTCTTTTTTCCAGTAAATCATCTTTTCTCTCTTCACTTCAGAAAGTTTACACACAGCTTTCCAGGATGTCACTAAAGTGCGAGCAAACTATTTACATTCCTGCCATATGTCTACCGATATCCTGCAGCTGTCTATCTAATTTACAATTAGATACCAAACTTCTGCTTGCGTAATGATTTGCATACTTCCCTAATTGCATGTTTTTAACACCAGTTAAGTAGATTAAATTATTTTTTTTGATTGGATATTATTTTTTCACCCCCACAACTTATTCAATGCATTTCTCTTATTTTAAGCATTCGGTGCCCTGGGACGGGACATCAGAGAGATGGTGGTATCTCCACCAGCGGAGTGGAGATATATATAGTATATAAAAAAAATAATACATATATATATATATATATATATATGTACTTTTATAGCTCAATGCTAAGATGCAACGGAGCCAAAATGTAAACTCCAGGGCTTTGGTTACCCAAGAGCACCTCATGCAAATTTCTTTCTCACCCTCACCAAAATGATTTTCCAGTGGCCAGACGCAGAATTTCCATCTCTCACCACCATGTTAGCAAAAAAAGCCAACACAGAAGCTCCATGGACAAACCCCATACCAAGTGGCCATTTGTGTCGCCAGCAAGTTTTCCTTTTTGGTGAAACAACATTCTAGAAAGAAACTCATTTTAGGTTAATTAAAATAAGTTACATTAGATGAAAAAGAAAAGCCTCATATTCCTCTTTTCCCATTAAAACACAGTAAGTCACAACTCTAAAGATAGTCACTTTACACTAAAAATATTATCAATTCTGCAAATATCAGGAGGGCATTCTGACATTTTCTGAATTATTTTTGTCTTATTTCTACCCAAAAGAAAACGTCATTAAAATTTATGAGTTTTAACAACCAATTTTGTGTCAAAGAAAGTCTTTTCTGAGAGAAAATTGTTTCAGTGGAATTTATTCTGGTTTGATTACTAACTAATTATTCGAAGATACTGGAGTTCTCTGATCCTGGACATATGACATGGATTATAGTGAAACCAGCTGGAGATTAAATTTCTCACTCACATATGGAGCTCATGACCCTCTTTATGAATCATCACACCGTTTGTTTAATATTTAATGCAACTCTTAGTTACTCTGAAGAGAATGTTGAACAACAGGGGCCCATAAAATTAAAATCACACAGCAAAATCACAGCTACTTGCAAATCCTCTCTCTTCTTTGGGACTTCATCACAAATCTGTCTGATCTAGGTTCATTAAGTTTATTTTTTCACTCCCGAGATGGTAAGATATGATGGAACACTAAAATTTCATATAAACATATCTGATTACAGCTTGCAAGCCTCAAGAGATCCAGCCTTGCTTTTCATGCAAACCTAGACACGGCAGTATCTTGAGCTTGAGAAGAAATATTTCTGAGTGTGTTAATCTGCTGAACTTATAGGAAGAGTGGGAAATCTAAACGGTGCAACAGAAGAGAACCACCGCCCTAGGCATAATTTCACTATCTTAAATGCATAGAGTGTACAAGATGGAAATGTAACTGCCTCGGTCGTGCTCTCTCTTTCCTCTGCTCCTGAACTTACCAACTTGAAAAATAAATTCAGAAAACTGTCAGTAAGTAACTACATATCTCAATGAAGGCAAATCTGCATTCAGTCGGGAACATTTTATCTACCTATTTCCCCAAAGCTAAAAGAAATACTTTTTTTTTTTTTTTTCCTAAATGCATTTATACAGCTTCTAAGAATCACCACTGCATTATTAAATTAGCTGTGCAAGAAGTTTAAAGTTTCCCCAGACCTCACCATCCGAGCAAGGTCAGTGAAGTCAAGTCAAAACCCAGCTCCCATTCTGTCAACCTGAATCTGCCTTTTGTTCAAAGACCTGTTTCCACTCAATATTAAGACAAGTCTTGCCTCCAGCTTTTAAACCAAAGCACAGAATTTGCATCCAATCCACAGCAGACATCCAACAACCGAAATCTCTTTACAGTTGTGCTGTTTTCTGACATCAAACTCCCTTCTGCCTTCCTTTTCATGGAATTGTAGGATGGTTTGGGTTGTAAGGGACCTACGTGGGCTCCTCTCCACGGGCTGCAGCTCCAGCCCGGGGCCTGCTCCTGCGGGGGCTCTCCATGGGCCGCAGCCTCCTCCAGGCCACATCCACTTGCTCCACCGGGGACTCCTCCACACATGGGGGGGCTGCAGCGTGGAGATCTGCTCCATGTGGGACCCGTGGGGGACAGCCTGCTCCACCAGGGGCCTCTCCACAGGTCGCAGGGGAACTGCTGCTGCCTGCCTGCAGCACCTCCTGCCCTCCTGCTGCACTTACCTGGGGGCTGCAGGGCTCCTTCTCGCTCCTCTCTCTCTCTCAGCTGCTGTTCCTAGCAGTTTTTTTTCCCCCTTTCTTAAATCTGCTCTCACAGAGCACAAACCACATCTCTTATTGGCCTAGCTCTGTCCAGTGGCGAGGCCCTTATCTAACATGAAGCAGCTTCTGGATTCTTCTCGCAGAAGCCACCCCTATGGCCCCTGCTACCCAATCCTTGCCGCGTAAACCCACTACACCCAGTTATGTATTGGAAGGCTGCTGTAAGGTCTTCCTGAAGATCTCAGCAGATCTGCCCACACCAGCCTACATGGGTCTCCTGGAACTTCTTACCCTTTCCTCCCTCGTGTTTGCCAACAAATTTCTCAGGTCAAGTGCTGGGCTACAGCCAAGACTTGGAAAACTAAAAGTGCAACTTGCTAACGCGTCGCCCACCTCCCTCCTCGCCTCTGCCCCTCATCCTGTCCATCAGAGGCACCAGCTCAGTGTTGCCTCAAGCAAAGCCCTTCACCCTGCACTAGCTTTTTCATGGCCCTTGAAAGACTTGGAAAGAAGACGAAACTTACGAGCAAGACGCACGTTTCGACCTGGAATTGACTGATACAGCATTAGTCAAATCTTATATTTTCATGGTTCGGTACTAATTACTTGGCGTCAGTAGGTGTCATCATTAAAAAGTTCCTTTTAACAACACAATGACTGGCTGAATGGATTCAGTGGTAGGAGCTCCTCATCCTCTCCCATGCAGGTTCACATGCCCCACACTGTAAAGATGACTGATTACACAGCCCTGATAAAGAACAAATTAAGTGTTTCTGCACAGTCCATTTTGCCAGCTGTGCCATGAAAGCAAAGACTTATGATTAACATCACAAACTGCCCCTGCTGCCTTTTCACTCATAACAAGGTCAACAGCTGCATGGGCAAAATATTTGTGCATATGCAAAGAGCCACAAGTAGTCAGCCTAGCAGCTGTCCATCTCCAAGTCTGCATGTGCAGCAAACATCTAATACATTCGTGAGATTTTTCCACGTGAAAAGCACACAACTGCACCTTTGGATTCTGCACATCCTTTTTCTGAGCACCTAGCAACTGCAGATAACTTGCCTGGCTGCTGAGGTTACTGCCTCTACAAGCCTGAACCCATCTGAAGAGGTGGCCGCAGGCACAGAAATCCCAGGTCACTCTGTCTCTGAAGCAGGGCAGCAGCAGTGGGGATATACCCTCTTCCTTTGGAAGCACCGAGTACCCACTCGGTGGAGAAAACAGGCATCTTAAGGTAGGTTTTGCTCCCATGAAACCACTTGTTGTGGAGCCCTTTGCAGAATTTTGTATGTAAGTACAGACCTCACAAGCCCAGAAATATTGTCCTTGCCATCTCTCTCTGCTCCGCAGTCTGCATAACTATTCCAACACCGCTTTCTTGTGAGCTCCCCAGCAGAATTAATTAACGTTTGCACAGTACTTTGAAGATGAAAGTACTATGCAAGTGCTAAATATCAGGCCAGATTCTCAGCTGGTTTAAAAACTGGCATTTACAGCACGGCATCCAGAGCCACAATCACCCTGTCTTATTAGAAAGGTTCTGCAGAGAACGCGAACAAAAAAGAGTAAGACGAAAAGAAAGAAAAAATACTTAAGAAAAAGATATAAAAAAATACAAAAACACATAGAAAAAACAGCATTGTAGCAATAACCTTCGTGCCTCTTCAGAGTCACTGTTTCTGCAGGTGAAGAGTACAAATCCGTAGAGCCACAGTACCATTCTCCTTCAAATCTCCTTAAAACTCACCTCTGCTGTGATGCCTACAAATCATTCGACACTGATTAGCCAGCTGATGTTCTGTGACTTCGCACATTACGCTCACCATAACCATCCTGCTCTTACACTGGCCTGCCCCAGCTGTTTACTCAACATGCTGCTGCTTTTTCTTTCCTGTCCTCTGTTTGTAGACTACTTGAGCTTTTGCAGGTGTTTTTTTTTGTTTTTTTTCATATATATGGGTACCAGGTCCAGCCCAGGGATACATACATGTAGACAAAATGTCTTTCCAGTCCTTTGCAGGCTCCCTGCAATATTAGGGATGTGCAGAAGTCAGTCACAAAGGAATATACTTCGTAAGTGTAGATCCACTTAAAGAGATGTATGTGTTCCTCTATACAATGGTTGATCATAAAAACCAACCCAGGAGGGGTTGATTTCAACTCATGCACTTTTATACATAAAGCAGCTATGTGCTTTTACAAAAGGCACCACACTATTGCAGTTTAAGGGCTAAACTTACTGCTTATGCAACATTTTTTTTAATAGCAGGAACCACACTTAAAATTGCGAACACATGGTTCGAGAGGAAGTTTCATCGGCAAATCAGTCTGTCACTTGAATAAACTACAATAGTTATAAGGAGAGACAAAGTGACTCTTTAAATATTATGGAAACTGGCAAGACTGCCTTTCCTTTGGGGGCTTAAAATAACACAGCTGCCGCCGAGCGAAGAGAAAGCACCAGCAGGCTGCACGCATCTCATGCCGGGATGCCCCAGCTTACCAGGGAAGCACCTCCACCCACTGGCCGTGGGCCAAGTGCCGATTCTCCAGCAGGACAGAGCAGCTCCAGATCAGACCTTTCGGCTCCCTCAGCTCAGCAGGAAAAGAGAGCGGGCGAATTTGAGGCCACAGGGCAGCGTCTGTGCACAGACACGTGATAAAGGCAGCATGGTGTTACGCTGAATGGCAAATTCACAGTGCGTGCCTACTGCCTTTTGGGCCCTCTTAACTGCTATCAAGTTTTTGGCCTGTGTCTGGAGGAGGGTTAATGGGCTGCATCTGGAGGGTGTGTGCTATTCCCACCTAATTACCAGGCCTTTGGAAGTAAGAGTTACTGGGCTGGACCACCACAACACCGGTGTGAGTGAGACCAGGCTCAGAGCCACAGCCAGCCTTAGAGAACGGATTTATCTGACTGTTCCTGTCACTTTTTTGAAGATAGCACCAGGGTAAACCTCACTGCAAGTTCTCTGCACAACTGGCTGGACTGGGGTCCAGTGCAACATCCCAGCATGCCGGGACAAGCATTTTTGTATGTTTTTAATAGCAGTTGCAAACAACAAAACAAAGTATTGGAAGGACAGGCATGGGCAGAGACAGACCACACATCCCTTCAGCCCTGGTGAAGCAAGCCTGGGTATCCGTGGGGAAAGCTGTGCCACAGGGAGGCTTTTCTGTGAGGTGAGATGGCCATGTGCTTGGAGTGGCCCAAAAATACATGGGACCACTCTATCTTCCTGTTTGGGTGGTAAAGCAGAAAGGTGGTTGCTCCTTACCCTGTAGATCAGCTGTGGGAGTTCACCTCCTCTCCTTCTCGAACCAGTTCCTAGGAGGAAGCAGTGTAGCTGCCTACTGAAACCCTGAGCCCATCTCACAGATAAATTATATAGATGAATGACCCCACAGACTGTTTTCTACAAAAAATTCCATAATAGGCACCTCGATTTTTTATTGCAGGATGAAGTGTTAATGATGAAGATCATCTGAGGGTGAGGCATTCAGAAGGGATCACCTCACTGATGGCACATGGACTGATGCTACGTGCCTCAGATCCAGACAAATCTCATATCACGTCCACATGATCTAGGTGCCAAATTCAAACCTTAGAGGTCGCTTTAAAATATCACAACTATTTCACAATTATTTCAGTAGAAAACCATGCATGGAAAGGATGCTGATACTCTTTCCATGGTCTCCACTTCTCCACTAGGCCTTACATTATCAACTCCTTTGCTAACTCAGTCACATGCGCTATTCATAGAGATTCGAGAAAAGAGCCCTCAAGCCTTTTCCCATGTTCAACAGCAAGACTCTACCCACACAAATACCTAAAATACTTCACTTTTAAGTAATAAAATAGGAAAAAAAAAAAAAGTGCACTGGAAATGAGTTCCCATACTATGAGTTTCCAGCGAATGTTACAAAACCCAAGGACACAGGCTTTGCAACAAGCCTTCTTTTGAAAGAAGACAAAATCAAAGAGAAACCTGAGGCTGGCAGCCTGAAGCGCCTGATCTGTACTCCCTACATGTAGCAGTTCTGCTCAAAACACAGGAGAAGAAGATGCCCTTCCCACCCCAAACTAGCAAGTCTGCCCATACACACACACTGCAGGTAGCACTGTGTTATGGATGCAAACAAATGGCTTAACTTTCAAGCCCCAGCAACACATGCCTGGGGCAAAGCTTCAGATTTCCCCATCTGAGTGCAGCTCTTTCTTACCCCTCCAGTCTGTTTTGTACTCTTAATTTCCTAGTGAAGCCTCTCTCCATTGAGAAATATCCCTTCTGCCTCTTCAGCATGACTTAGGCTGATGCTCTGCACTCACAGCCTTAATCTCTAGAGAGCCTGGATGAGATTTTCAAAAGCACTTAGTGTTGACCTACCTCTGCTCCAAATCAGTCTGATCATATTAGGTTAACTATATTTAAGTTTGGCCATGTATATTTTGTCATAATAAACTTACCCCAAAGGAACGCTGCTGCTTTAAAACAAGATTACTAAACCCACAACTATTTATGCATCTCAATAAGGAATCTGATTTTCCACTTCCAGTTCTGCAGATTTTTTGGAGCATGTTGAATATTTAGTACTGGCAGAACAGAGGTCAATGCAATTATATTCTACATCTTAAGAGGAAACAGTACCCTCTAAATTCAGTGCTAAAGAAGAGCTGTACTGGCGACCTGAAGGCTCAAAATTCCTAAAACTATTGCTGAAAATTAATACCAACCTCGACCCATCCAGAATGCTCATGTTTCGGCATCTGTGAATAGCTCTGCAAAGCCATGGCCCAAACACCGACATAAGACCTCATCTTTCTCCTCCTCCCAATTCTTGTTTCCAGGTCACCAAGCAATGAGGGTTTCTAAATGGTACAAGGAGTGACTGTCAGCTGTCACCATTTTTTTCCAACACACAAACATTGAAAAGCCACTTCTCAGTGTAGTCCATACAGCACCTCCACAATGACCAGAGTAATAGTTGGAGAGTATTGGCCATGAGGCTCAAAGTGTAGGACTAAATATACCTTTTTCTTTTTTTTTTTTAATTAGTATGTTGGACCTTCTTCTGCTGCATTTTTCCCATTTTGATGTATATATTTTTAACTGAATCCATAATTGGTCTATCTAAATGATTGACACCGAAGGTGAAGGAACAGCCTGTTAGTCTTGACTGCTGGGGTAATGAATAGAGAAGCTGACATGTTAAATTTCTTCACCTCCAATTGGAGTTATAAATTATAGACTTCTTTTGCATTATCTTAATACTAAGTTCATCTTAAAAATAGAATGATTCCTTGGGGGTGTATTTATAGTGAAAAAATACATATCTAATGCTACTGTACTTTGCATACCTTCATATTTTAATATAATTGTATTGATTTTTTCCATTTTTGTTCTTATTTTTGGATATTAAGAATCAAAATCAGATCATCTTACACTTTGAAAAGGCACCATTTTGCTTCAGCAGGACATTCAGAAATTTTCAAAAGCTGTCTGTAATTTAGCATATCTACCTGCTTTTCCTGCAGCTACTTTGACAGGTTGCATCTTCATATATTGGCCAAAGATCACTTTATCTGAGTTTCTACAAACTTTGCAGGGTAAGGAAACAGGACTTGAAGAAGTCTGTAGGAACTAAAGTTTCCACCCCATAAAAATCCTTAATTCGGCCTTCATCCCCGTGCAAACAACTCCTGTGAAACAAATCATCGACTTCAAATTAATCAGTTTATGTGAGAGCAAACACAGCCCATCAATAAAAAAACAAAGTAATAAACCGCAGGAAAATGCCTCTAAGCCAGACACAGTGCATTTAAACTCTCCAATTTATTTTGCATGGGAAGGAGGGGAGATAGCTCTTAAAACTTTGGTCTAAATTAGACTTAATTCAAATCATGCTGCTATGAAACCTCAAGGCCCAGCTCCTAATAGCAGTGCAACCGTCTGTGGAAGTGAGGAGGAGATGAAGATTATCTGCATTGTGGGAGGCCAAAAGGAGGTGGGAGGCCAGCCTGGAAAGGATGAGTCCTTCCCTCAGTGCTGGAGGAGAAAGAGGAGGGAAGGAATAAAAGGCCCAGGCCCAGGCCCATGCTCAGGCTCTCCCCTGGGCCTTTATCTCTTTATCAAGAGATAAACCTCTTGACCCACCCCTGTGATGGTTGGGGTGTCTGCCAAAGTCATGTCAGAGGAGGGTAAAATGGAAGTCCACCACAAGAGCACCACCTCCACCACAGTGCTTGCTGTTCCCCCGGGTTTTCAATGCCTTTAATGCATGCAGCCCTGTTGGCAATGATGCTTCCTCCTCAATATCCCACAGGAAAATATCAGCCTCAAGCCATCAGCACCACGAATTCCCCTACAGCTGAGTTACATGCTGCCTGTCTTCGATTCGAATTGTGTGCTTCAATCTGATTATTTCCTATTTCCAGAATCATTTTGACATGGGGAAGAGGAGGGGAAGGGACAGGGGAGAGCAATACACTTCAAATAAAATTTGCAGCCATTCAGGACTTCAATCACCTCAGCAAAAATATGCTTATGACACAAATATATGTATGTTATTAACTTAGCAGGGTCTTCTCTTAATAGTGCAATTAGCTTTCGTAGGAAACAGGCCCCTGTACCATCTTGAGAATAGACTCTCGGGCATATGTTTTTACATAGCACCAGGAACGCTTCTTGCAAATTAAAGAAAGCATTTGTCATCTCCAGTGTTTACACTGAAAAAGTGGCGTTTTAAATGCTGCATTAGCATCAAATCCCAAGGGACACCATGAGCAGCCTCAAGCAAGGAGCGCTCACCCAAGCAAAGGCCGCACTAAAGTGGAAGCTCTGGCCATGCATCCTTGGTTTAATATATTAGCAGCAGGAGGAAAATCTGGTGCCAGCACAGCAAATTTCTGCACAGAACTCAGACTGTCTGCTGCATCAGGGCCTCTGTCAGGTCTCTGTCTTGCAAAATACCTCTGCCTTCCTCCAGCAGGACCTCCACACCTCAAAGACTGTCTGGGAGCTCATCAACAAGTCATGCTTGGGATGTCTGAAAGACCTGAAGACTTCCCTTCTTGCAAAGAGGTAAGGGGTCTCTGCAGCAGCCCCATCCCATCAGGACCTCCTGCAGAGGTCTGCAGCTCGCTGGCCCTGCACAGACATACCACTGAAAACCTGCACGTCGCCTGCCACTCCGCAGATTAGGCAAAAGCAGCTTTGTTTTATTTCAATTACTCTGGGGTTCGTAAATTGTCACCCTTATCCATCAATAGGATGGTCTTCATTAGTCTGTTCCCCGTCATTTAACATGCCTATAAGCCATTGCCAAACAGATTATACCGACTATTCCATTAATATCCTGTATTCAGCAAATGGGGAGGAAATTGTATTATTCTGGTAACTGTTTAATGTTTGCCACCAGACACATGAAGCAAATGTGTCCAGGAAATGCTTACTTGCCCGATGTCACCTGATGAATAAGTCCAGACACCCTATTCATTTGAAAGGAAGCCACAAGAAATAACTGCAAAGAAAGTAGAGCTACTGCACATAGCAAGAAGTAAATGAGCTAATAAATACTGCCGTACCGTATTCTTGCGTGCTAAGTAATGTTTTATTACAGCCTTTAAAATTAATGCTTGATATTTTGTTGGTATCAACACACGCTCAAAATGTATGATGCTTTACACTACAAATGCTACCCAGTGACGAAGCAAACCCCACCATGGGCACTTCATCACCTGAGCAAAGGCACAGAGTAAAAAAAAAACAAGTCCCCACCCTCCCTTGCCACCGTACATAACCAATATTAAAAGCGGCATGAGCCATTTTATTCTTGTCAAGATCAGTTTTCTCACCTGGCTCCCACAAGCCGTGTTTTCATTTCCCTACAACAGTTTTCCCCTGTCTCCTACTTTACTTAAATATAACCTTTCAACCACGTTATTGGCCTGAATTTAACAAACAAAACCCAACAAGCAATCAAAACAAACCAAATACACACAGAAACTAAAAAATCCCAACCACCTAATACCTGGATAGTGGTGCTGGGATGATGGGAACGTGCTTCCTGCTGGCTCCTTCTGTGACCAGAGGAGAAGCAGGATTGCATTGCCAAGTGCACATCTCAGATGTGCTAAGGCACCTTCTGAGGTTACCCAAGTTTCTCAGCTGCTACAAGAGCAGTACAAGGCTCTTCATGACAGTACCCTCAGGAAGATGCATCCGTGACCCATATGGAATTTATTTTTATTTTCCTGGCTTAGTCTTGAGATGGAGACAGGAGGATGCTGACAACAACACTCAGTTTTCATTACATCCTTTAAAATCAATACTTGATATTTTGTTGGTATCAACACATGCTTGGAACATCTGATACTTACACTCCACAAATGCTATGCAGAGACTAATCAAACCCCACCATGGGCACTTCACCACCTGAGCTTTTTGTCAGCCCACTCATTTAATATCTAGAGCATCTACCAGCTATTTTGCTAGGAACTGCACCTAATTGCTGCAAAATACACTGGGGGTATGTACAAACAAATTCTGGCAGATCAGCAGCTCTGTATCAAATAAAACCGGCGTCTGACAATTGTTATGCCAGGACTGTCCATCAGTTCAGAAATAAAAGTGCCTTTCTGCAAGGTGTCCTCTGAGAGAGAAGCAAACACGCAGGAGCAGGCAGATTGTCTGCTGTCTGAGGTGTCACTGGCAACAGGACCACCCTGTCCAGCAGAAATCCCAGCGGCTCCTAACCCAGCGGGGCTGCTGGCTCCTTGCTCCAGCAAACCCCTTTTTCTTTCTCAGCACAGTCACTTCCACCGTAACATGCAGAACTCAGACCCATCCTGCCTGCCCTCTTTGGCCTACGAGAGCAACCAGCAGCTCAGACCCATCCAC